TCTCTCTCTCTCTCTCTCTCTCTCACACACACACACACACACACACACACACACACACACACACACACTTAAAGGTAGGCAAATGGCTGAAAGAGATTTCCTGTACCAAGACAACAAGAAAACAGCAACATCTCCAACAATAAAGACACAATTTCGTATGGCAGGGAAAATTAGTTCTGCCCATCAAGTGGACTGTAGCGGACATCTTTATTCCATAAAGGTGAAGTTGGAAGAGTTATCGATTAAGCTACTGCTGGGAGAGGGAGGTAAACACATCGGGGAATTTGGAGACAAAGTTTAAAAGCGTTCTCATTATTTCATGGTTTTAGTGGCTAAAAACCTCATGCATTTCCAAGATCTTTCATATCTGCCCTTCAAACAAGGAACGAAAAAGAGAAGAAAATTTTAATTTGCTAAAAAAAAAAAAAAAGCTCTTCTAAATGAAGAGTTTGAGTGGGTTTAAAATCCATTTGCTGGAAGTATTAAAATGCAACATTATTCCAATTTCTTCGTAAGAACAACTGATTGACATGAGAGAAGATGAGAATTTGCAAAACAGTTTTGAACAAAACCTCTCCATAATTGGTGGATGGAATTGAAAATTAATGTCACGATTTCCTGAGCTGAGCCCCAGAATGCACCTCGTCCGTCTGGATCTAGGTGTCTTCGTGAGGCCTGTTTTTCATCCTTGGCAGCCATTAAAAACTGAACTTTGAAATAAACCAGATTTTAAATAAGACATTCAAATCCTTGCTCCACAGAGTGTAAAACCAAGATTTTTCAAAAATAAACAAGCATATTCGATCACGTTGTTCTCATCGTGAGAGTAAAAAGGGATCTGAGCTAAATGAAACACCATGAAATCATTTTAAGGTATTGTTCCTTTTTTATTTTTCATGGTCTCTCTATAGTTTTATGATGTGCATAATATCCTGTATGAACTTATATGTGTGTGTCTACTTTATCATGGACATGTGTTTTTATAATGTAAGTACTCATATACATTCACATGTGTAGCTCGTGTGTATTTCTATAAGGTTCTGTGTATGCTCATTACAAATAGACGGGAACTGCCATGACTATTCCACACTTTTTATTGATGGTTTATATGAACAATAAAATGTGAATTGAAGGATGTTGGCCGTGCCTGTGTCCCCTCCAGGCCTGGCACTAGAGACGACATGGGGCCTACCCTGCCCTGGGTGTGGACACACATCATAAAGATGTCCCTGGACTGGGCTTGGCCTACCCCACAGAGGCAAGGGATCAACCAAGGCTTCAGGCATGTGTGTTGTTATAGGTAAAAAGTCACAGGTCTGAAAGAATCAACCAAGGCCAAGAGCTGCCCCCGTTGTAAAGATCGTGATCTCCTCAGCTAGAAAAAGAAGAGCTTGCTGGGGTGGTGGTGGCACATGCCTTTAATCCTAGTGGATCTCTGGGTTCGAGGCCAGCCTGATCTACAGAGGACAGCCCTGACTACACAAAAAAAAAAAAACTCTGTCTCAAAAAAACCAAAAAAAAAAAAAAAAAAGAGTCTCTCTCTCTCTCTCTCTCTCTCTCTCTCTCTCTCTCTCTCTCTCTCTCTCTCCCTCACCCTCCCCTCTCAAGGAGAAAGAGCTAAAAGCTGCAGTCTCAGGCTCAGAGGGACTCCAAAGAACCTGAAGAGTCATTGTCTTTTATTGGTACAGTGCAGCAGACTGGCAGTGGAAGCTGTGTGAATTCAGACAGACGGAGACTGGGCCTGCGGCCTTTTCCTGCTCTGTTGTCGGGACCTTAGTGTGGAGTCTGGTCCTTGGTTAGAAAGATGGTCACAACAGTCTCTGCTGGAGAATCCATTCTGCTGTTCATTTCAGATTGGCATCCTGCAAATAAAGCCTCTGATGTCTAGGAGGCTAAATACCCAAGTCGGTTGCAAGAATACCTCTCCCCAAATTCTTGGGTCAGTCACAAGCCAGGCATAATGATGGTATATGCCTGTGATTCCAGCACTTGGGAGGCTAAGGCAGGAAGGTTGTGAGTTTGAGCCCAACCTGGGCTACAGTAATGAGACCCTTGTCTCAGAGAGAGAGAGAGAGAGAGAGAGAGAGAGAGAGAGAGAGAGAGAGGAGAATGCCCACATTTCTGCTGACTGTGGGGCGGCTCAGCCTCCCCTGAAGTAAAGAGACTTTCCTGAGGCATGACTGTGTCATACCATTTCCTCCCTGTGTTTTTCCTGCCTATAGACTTCCTCTGTATTTTCACTGCTCAGAGCAGAAAATCCAGGCTGCCTCGCCCAACCTACAATGGCCCATTGTTCTCTATTCCCAGCCCTCTGCATTAGTCATCTATGTAGTGGTGGTTTGAATGAGAATAACCCTGATAAGCTCATATATTTGAATGCTTGGTCCCCAGTTGCTGGAACTGTTTGGGAAGGATTAGGAGGTGTGGCCTTGTTGGAGAAGGTGTGTCGCTGAGGTGGGCTTTGAGGTTTCAAAAACTCAAGCTCTTCCCAGTTAGCTGTCTCTGCCTCATGATTGTGTCTCAAGATGTGAGCTCTAACTGCTCCAGTGCTGTGCCTGCCTGCCTATTGCCATGTTCCCTTCCATGCTGGTCATGAACACACCCTTTGAAACTGTAAGCCCCAAATAGACACCTTCTCTTCTAAGTTGCCTTGGTCATGGTGTGTTCTCACAACAGTAGAAAAGTAAACAAGGCAGGGGCCATCCTACCTAATTTGAACAGAAAGAATGTTGTGCTGTTGTCCTTTGCTAGAAAATGCATTGGAAGGGTTGGAGAAACCAGCTACCTCTGCAGCAGACCCAGAAGAACATACTGGAAAGAATCCCTGGGGAAGCTGCCCCTCACTTGTGCTATCAGGGAACTTAAAAAAAAAAAAATGAGGACCCACTCAGGGACCATTAACTTCCAGAACCATGCTCATAACTGGTCAGGGGATCAAAAAGTCATTCCAACAACTTTGTGGCCACCAAACTGGAGTCTGAACACCAGAAGACAGCTGTGGAAAGTTCCAGTGTCTACACCATGCTGACTAACAGCAGCAAGGTGCAAGGCAGAAGGAAGATGCTTCCTGTACCAATTCCTTACCCTCAAGTCTGTATAGTGGACATGACTGACTACATTAGCAAGATCCTAGCAGCAAAGGAGTCTGAGAAATGCGATGTCTGGCATGCATGCGCTGTAGCTCAGAAGGGCTCACGAGGAGGTCGGGTGGAGGCCACATCATGCACACATTCTTCCAGATTCTTCTCTCAACAATTTTGTCAGGCTCCCCTGTGTTCTCACTACAGTGACCATTCCAAGGGGGTCCTAGGAACACCCTTCTAATTCCATCTGCCCTGTTTGAGGCCGGGTGGTGGTGGCACACACCTTTAATCCCAGCATTCAGGAGGCAGAGGCAGGTGGATCTCTGTGAGTTTGGGACTAGCCTAGTCTACAGAGCAAGTCCCAGGAGACCCAAGGCTATATGGAGAAGCCTTGTCTTGAGAAATCAAAAACAACAATAATAATAACAACAAAAACCAGAAACAAAACAAACCATCTGCCCTTTTTGAACCTGTGACACTTTCCCTGAGCTTCCTGGGTTACTATGGGCTGAAGCTGCTCCATAGAAATATAATGCAAGCCACACATGGAGTAGGTTGAATAACAAGCACCCGAAGATATCAAGTATATCAGGTCCTGCCCGCTAGAGCCTTTACATAGTCATTAATTTGTGGGAGATGGAGAAGGACCTCTGTTGATGTCATTAAGGATTTCAAGGTGAGGAGTCGCCCGGGATTATCTGGGTGATCCGGTAGATGCCACCTCAAGTGGCCTTGTATAAGATGAACAGGAGGGCCGGGCGTTGGTGGCGCACGCCTTTAATCCCAGCACTCGGGAGGCAGAGCCAGGCGGATCTCTTGTGAGTTCAAGGCCAGCCTGGGCTACCAAGTGAGCTCCGGGAAAGGCGCAAAGCTACACAGAGAAACCCTGTCTCAAAAAACCAAAAAAAAAAAGATGAACAGGAGGGACTGAGGCTGGCACAATAGGAGGTGGAAGTGATGGAGCCACAAATTCAAGGAGTCTGGGGCAGCTCCCAAAAGCTACAAGAGGTGGGGACAGGATTCTCCCCTCTAGTCTCCAAAAGCCACATGTCCTGGCCAGATCTGGGGCTCATGACTATGAGACAACAGATTTTGGTTGTTTAAAGTCGCTGGGTTTGTGGTAATTTGATACAGATGAAATTAATTTTAACCATCTATTTTATTTAACCCCAGAGCCGCAGAGCATCATCATTTCGACACAACACTGAGATAAAGCATTATGAGTAAGAGGACCAGGGAGATGGCTCAGCAGAGGGAAAAGGGCCCTGCTGCCCAGCCCTGTGACCCGAGGTTGATCTTCAGAACTCCTGTGGTGGAAGGAGAGAACTGACCCACAAGCTGTCTTCTGACCTCCACACGCATACGGTGGCACAAAGCCCCGCTCCACCTCACACAACATATAGATACGTTTTCAATTATGAATAATGGATCTTACATCTTTCATGCTAAGCTATTAACATCTGAATTACGCTTTACCCCAAAGCCCGGCTCAGCGTGGATTAGTCCAAAAGCTGCCTCTGTCTGATGGCCGCCAGGTAGCACAGTGGAGCTCCTCCGGTCCTTGGGAGACCAGCACCAGGCTGAGACAGGGGCCTTTCCTCCTCATAGCGAGCGCCTTGGAGTTGGCGACCTTGTCCCTTCGTTTCTGTATCCCGTGCCTAAACGCAAGAGTGCTCAATGAATGTATTTGAATAAATAAACGACGGAGTTCGCTGAGCCTGGGGAGGTAGCTCCGTCAGTGAAGTGCTTGCCATGAAAACCTGAGGACCTGAGTTCAGTCTCTGGCACCCACATAAAAATCAGGGTGCAGAGGCATGACCGCGTAATCCCGGTGCCGAGGAGGTAATGAAACATGGATCCCTGAGGCTTGCTGGCCAGCCTGCCTACCTTAATTGGTCCCATTGAGAGACCCTGTCTCAAAAATAAAGGCAAGGTAGATGGCTCCTCCTGATAGACACCTGGAGTTGATCTCTCTCTCTCTCTCTCTCTCTCTCTGTCTGTCTGTCTCTGTCTCTGTCTCTCTCTCTCTCTCTCTCTCTCTCTCACACACACACACACACACACACACACACACATTTGCGTTCTGTCACTGTGATAAAGCACTATGACCAAAAGCCACTTGTGAGAGAATTTGTTTCATCTTACACGTCTGTCAGACGGGAAGTCGGGGCAGGAACTTAGGTAGAAATCACGAAGGAATGCTGCTGGCTGGCAGCTCTCTGGCTGCCCCACAGGCTCTGCCTTAGCTCATTTTCTTCTACAGTTGCTCAGGACCACCTGCCCAAGAAACAGCACCACCCACAGTGGGCTGGGCCGTCCTCCGTCAATAAAGACGATATCTCACAGACATGTTCTCGAACCAACCTGATAAAGACAATTATTACTCAGTTGAGACTTGTTTTCCTCACGTGATTCTAGGCTGTGTCAAGTCGACAGTCGTTAACTAGGACACTCCCACGCAGGGACGAACACATATGCTCACAAAATGGAGTTCCTACAAGAAAAAAACAAACTGTCAGAAATAACAAATTTTGCTTGTTTATTTAATCATTTTTCCCTTTTCTTTCATGAGGAAAGTATAGAAAACATCAAAAAGAGGGTTTTTTGTTTTTTTTTTAAAGATGTATCTTTAAACATTCTGCTTGGGGGAATCACTTCTGTTAGAATGTGGAACATAAGCCAGAGGAATAATGTGTTCGAGCCTAGAAAAGAAATTTGATGAATCAGAATATATCGATTCATGCCTATAATCCCAGCTCTCTGGAGGCTGAGGCAGGAGGTTGTAGGTTTCAGGTCACCCTCGTGTATGTAGTGAGACCCTGTTAAAAGAGAGAAAGAGAGGGGTGGGAATCAGGAAGAAGAGAAAGAGCTGGGTATGTGTATTAAAGAAATATAACCTGTCTCTCGGTCCCTCGGATGACTGGTTGGTCATAGGATCCCTCTCCTTCCCTTACCCAGATCTGCATATGCTCAAGTCCTTTATATAAAATGGTGTGCTTGTGTAGGACCTATACACATCTCATGTATTTAACTCATTTGTAGATTACTTATATCTACTATAATGTAGAATTTTAAAATAGTGGTTATGCTTAGGAGATATTGACAAGAAGCCTGTACGGATACAATTTTGTCTAATCCTCGGTTGGTTGGTATGGAATCCAGGGATCCGGAGGAGGTACTTGTAATTATCTCTCAATGTGGAAGCATCAGGACCAGTTCGTTCGCTGCAGAAGGAAGGGTCCGACATAGTTAACGATGACGTCACACCAATTCTCCTCACTCACTTTCAGAAGACGGCCGCAGAGGGGTCCTTCTCGACTCCATCTATGAGTCCATCATTACCCTCATGCCAAAGCCAGAGATATTACAAGCATAAAACAGCGGCAGATCAATAGCCCTCGTGAGGACAGGTGCCAGATCCTTCACCAGAATACTATCAAATCCAAACAAGAGGTTTACCCCAGGTGTGCAGATGGAAGAACATGACCCACCAGGACAGCAGAGGGAGGACGACAGTCCTATCAATACATACACAGCATCCCTTCAGAATGCTGGCTGTGTCAAATGCAGGGGGTGGGCAGAAGAGCCTGGCAAGGTCTGGGGGGCAACTGAAACTGAAATCAATGTTCTGGGCCCGTTAAACTGAAAGAAGTGGTTGCCTGTGAACCAAAAGTGCTAACTTCAGAGAGAAAAAAAAAAAAAATCAAATCCAGGGCTTCCTACATGCTGGGCAAGCAATGTATCAACTGAGCTACACACAGCTCCAGGCAGTTCCTCCTCCATGTATCCCACCCCCACTTCCACCCAAGAATCTCAGCGTTTGTTCCTCCCACCTGCCGGTGAAGTGGAAAACCTACAGACCAAGGCTGCCTTGGCTTGCCGCTCTCCATTTTCTTCATTCGTAGATACATTGTATTCACCAAGGCTGGCATCTGCGGAATCACAGGGATACTTACGACCCCTTCCAATGCTACCCTTTAAGAAGAGAAACCTTGTACCACTTTGTCCAGCTTCCTTTTGTGGTGGGCACACTGGCTCAACCGGGTTCTGCAAAACCACAGGGCATCAGAAAACAATCCAGAAAGCAGACTGCAGAGCCTAAGAGGGACGCTGGGCAGCTCGCCCTCAAGATCAGCCTGCTGGAGTGACCATGTGTCTCCAGGCTCACAGCCTGCCCAGATGGAGCTCTGCCACTCATGCGGGCTGGACACTGCCTCACAAGAAGACCCCTGGCGGGGAGGGAGGTGGAGTCATGGGGAGGGAGGAGGTGACTTCCCGCCTTCCACCTAACAGAACTTCCTAGGAGGGTGACTCATTGAGAAGCAGGATGAGAAGCCCTCCAGGGCCTTCCAGCTTCCTCCCTGGTGTCAGAGCCTCATTCCCAGGCCTTCTGACAGGACAGAAGGTTAGGAAAGGCAGCATGTGACCCTAACAGAGGCATCCAGACCCACAGAATAGGTCTGGGGAAGGGTCTCCCCCTTCTCACTGTCTCTGCCCAACCCACTGTTTCCTCACCACAGGGCGAAGGAAGCCTGCTGCACACTTTGGTCTGGGCACCCTCCTGGTCACATGGTACATAGGAAGGGCCAAGCTGGGAGCTTGGGGCCCCCTACACACACACCCTAACCGGCGCCTGCCAGGCCAGCCCGCCACTCAACGCCCCCCCACCCCCACCCCAACACACACACCCCTCCCAGCCTGTGACTGCCCCACCTGAGCGGTTGGAACACCTCTGGGGCGGGGCCCGGCCGCTGTCAAGGCCACGTGTAGGGCCTCAGGGGAGAAGGGGGGGCGGGCGGAGGGCGGGCTGTTCTTAAGGCGGGTCCTGAGGTTTGCTGGCGCCTGTTCTAGTAACTTACCTGGCCTCAGCACAGTTTGATTCCGGGAGCCGTAAGTGAGTGCAGCAGGGGCCGCGCACAGGTAAGTGCCTTTACTCACTGGGGTAGGGGAACCCAGTCCAGCTCAGAAAGAGCTCTAAGGCTGCCGTCGAGGTGCAGGGGAGAAGCTGACCTGGGGTCTTGGACACCTGGTTAGAGCCTGGACAAACCCAGGCGTCCTAACTCCCATGCAGAGCACAAGGTTTGAGACAAGCAGGACTAGGAGGCTGTCCACTGTCCCGCAGGGCCTGCCTGATGCCCCAGGGGAGGCCTCCTGGATCTTGGGGAAGCAAGGGACAATGAGGAGGCAAACTCAAATGATGGGGACCCTGGGGTTGTGCTTTGGGGAGTCTGGGATTTCATCCTCTGCTTTCCCTACCTGGATTTGTACAGGGAGAGGATAAGTAAAAGGTTAAGCAAAAAATGACCACAAGGTTTTCCCAGGGCCCCAGGAGTTCCCTGCCCCCAGAGTTTGGGGGGCAGGATAAGAGCTAGAATCTGAAGATAGGTAGGAGGGAGCTGTAAATAGGGCAGAGCTAACTGGAATCCTTCCTAACACGCACACGCACACACACACACACACACACACGCACACGCACACGCACACGCACACGCACACGCACACGCACGCGCACGCACACGCACACGCACACGCATGCACTGAGCCCAGGCACTCCTGCCTAAGACTCAGAGCAGAAAGGAGCCAGCTAGACAGTTGCCCTGGGGGTGCCTGGAGTGTCTAGCAACTTCCCAGAGGGGCAGACAGAGCCCGTGTCTGGGGCCAGGGCTGACTTGGAAGGTGAAATGAGAACCTGCAGAAGGGCTTCCTGTCCTCAGCCTCTCCATGTGCCCGTTGGTTCCAGAATCCCAAAAAGAGCTGAGGTAGGAGAGACCCACCTGTGGCAGAGAGCACAGGGTGACTGACCGTGTCGGACTGTTGGAGGCAAGAACACCTACCACGAACCCCCGGACACGCACTTGTAGCCCAGGCAAGCCCCTCAGCCTTGTCTGCTCGCCCCACTCAGAACTGTTGGGAAATAGGGTCAAGTGTCTGTTATTATCAGGTCACCGTCAGACAGATAAGACCACTGAGATCAGTCCAGAGAGGAAGGTGCCCTATCCACAGGAGCACAGAGACAACCTCTGGATAAGCACGTGGGCAATCTTGAGTCCTGGTCGTGGGGGATACTCAGCTTCCAGTGTGCTCTGCCCGGTGTCCCCAGCTTCCTCTGTGGGCCTGGCAGTGAACCCTGCAAGCTGTGCCTGGCTCCCTGGACTCTTGGAGACTCTGTGGGAAAAGCTGTGTCTTGGGCTCCGTGTCCTCAGCTGCCCCCAAGGAAGGCGCTCAGGCCAGCTCCCTTCCACTGCCGTTTATGGATACGCTTCCCCACATGGCTTCCCCACATCAGCGTGCACCCCCACCCCAGGACCCAGCCAAGAAGTCTGATAACAAAGCCATAGGAGCCTGGGGTGAGGAGCAGGGGTGGGGTGGAGGTGCAGACAGGCCTGGGTTTTTGTCATTCGGCATAGCATGGCCCCATCTCCATGTGGCCGAAGGAGTTAAGATCACACAGGGCCAAGGCCTAGATCTGAATCCCAGAGCTGAAGCCTCTGTTGGTTGCTTTTGGGGTTTTGTTGTTATTTGGTTGGTTGGTGGGTGGGT